ACTGGGCCTCATAACCTGTGGTAATTCAGAGTTGAATAATAAGCCTCCAGTAGGAATAGTTTTACTTCTGATCAGAAAAATACAACATGAATTAATATTCTATTTTATACAGAGCGTATATAACATATTTAACATACAGAGTGTATGATTATCAGAATTGCTTCATATCAACATTTGTTGCATAGTTGGTTGTGAGAGATGGTAGGTAAAATAAGTTAGGTGCGCGAGTGACGTGAGTGAGAGCATTGAACGAGAGCCTATTGACTATATAATTACTGTCTATTTTGTTGTTTATGATTTTGAAAACGAATAGTACATAACTTACGATTCTACGAGAAGAGAGTTCAGAGAGTTTGAAATGTTCTAATCGACTTTCATAAATGATGAATATATTAGGGGTCTTTTGAACTTGAGAAACAATAAATTCATGAATCTTTCCTGAACTCTTCCTATTTGTTGAATGTATTTATATTAGCAAGGGTTCCATACTATCGAGGCTAATTCGAGATGACTCCTCACAAGGGAGTTATATAACATAATGAATGTCTTTGGATTCGTGAATGGCTTAGATATTCTTGTAATGAATCCCAAGTTCTTCAGAGCTTCCTTCAATATTTTTTCAATGTAAACTTCAAAGGTTAATTTTGAGTCTATCATCACCCCCAGGTCCTTGATGCATTCTACTTTGTCCAGTACATCATCATAAATATTGACCAAAATATAATTTTATTACATTCAAAAATGGCACGCCACTGTTTTTTATCAAAATGAAAATTGGTTCTGTAATCTCAGTTGCAAACAAAAAAAACACTTGACTTTTTTTCGTTAGACAAACGGTTTTTAATTGAAAATATATCCCGGCCATGTGAAGCAGTCCTATGAAAGCAGAAATTTCTTCAAAATCCGCCCCTAGTTTTGGTGTGTATATGTTACAATTTCTGCAATTACCCCATCTGGAAAGCATAATTTCCATTAATCGATAACTTCTTTGAAATTTTTAGCTACAGTTCCCTCACCAGGAAGCATTGATGTGATATTTTGGGCACGTGTTTTTGATGCAGCCATACTGTGCCATATTTTCCAGTCCATTGGAGAAAACTTAACCCTTGAATTCCCATGCCATTGAAATCAACGTAAACACCCATGCGGGGTTCTTCAGAGACCCCAGCTGAATATATAATTTCTAATTATTTTTTTTTCAAATTTATTAATTAAATAAGCGTAGGGAAGAACAAAATCATACTTTAGACATCACATGAAACTTTATTGGATATTTATAAGAATGAAATAAAAAATAGAATTCGAATGAAACAAACTAATACTAGGAGCCACAATTTAAAGTTAACAAAAACCAGGAATAATTCATTGTGACCATTAAAAATTTGAAGAGGATTCAAGCCGATGCGCATTTAGTACATGAAATATTTGGTTTGGTTATTCTGTGATTTTGACATACGAATTGTTTGCAATGATCGAATCTAGTATTCACTTTTTTGTCACATCTTCTGGGACACTGGAAACATCTTGCTCTTTTTCTGTTTCCATCCGCTGGTTCATCAGCAGAGCCTTTGTGTGCTCTTTATGGTTCCTATATTGTGCCCTTGTTTCCATATTATTTCGAGCCAAGTCATCACTTAGTTGATGTAAGAAGAGGCGTCGCCGGGCAAAGTTATTTTTTGTCCAATCGGGATTTTTCTCCATATAAATGACATAGGCATTCAAAGTACATATGTCTATAATATTGAGAAATAACCTATACGGCCATCGAGCTGTTCTCCTACTACATGAAAATTCCCTCACAAGCTTATCAGAATTATCAACTCCTCCTTTGGTTTGGTTATAATCCAATATCATGATTGGTTTCTTTTCATTTTCTTCAGAGACCTTGTCTTCACCATGTTAGCTGGATAGAACGTGAACCATTCTTCCTTTTTTTGGAATATAAGAAACCATCGTCAGATCCTTTGTAAAAGCAAACATAGGAGAGTGAATAGACCTGGAGGTGCAATTTAGTGTTGCTGGAGTATCAGGTTTGTTCTTACGAACAGTTCCCAATAAGGTGAGATTTTTTGATAATAAATAGTTGGCTAAAGGAACACTCGTGAAGAAATTGTCAGTCGTTATTCCTCTCCCAGAACCGTGATATGGTTGTACTAAGTCAGACACTACTCTATATCCTTGGTTTTTTTTTTCTGATAAATTACCAGGAAGTTTTCCGGTGTAGACCTCAAGATTGCAAGCGTAAGAAGTTTGTACGTCAGCAGCTGCCCATATTTTGATGCCGTATCGACCTGGTTTTGATTTGATATATTGCCTAAAAGGGCAATTGCCACGGAAACAAACCAACTGCTCGTCAATTGTAATATGGTCATATGGCTCAAAACTCTGTTTACAATTGGTAACAAAAAGGTCCCATACTACTCTTATGGCAGCTAATTTGTCATTCTCTTTTCTCTCTGCTCTAGTAGATTTGTCGTCAAATCGTAGGAATATTGAGATTTCTTCAAATCTATTTCTTGATAACGAAGCAGTGAAAAATGCTCGACGAATGGAGGTATTCTTGGTCCACATTTCCTCAGTGGATTCTTTCCTACATCGTAGCGCGCCTGCTTTTATTAGAACACCTAAAAAACAGTCAAGCTCATCACGTTCAAGTGGTGTCCATTGTTTCTGATTAGTAGGATTCTTAGCGTTCCAAATATCATAACTTCTAGAAGCTTCCTCATTTGTGTGTAGACAAATTATGTCCTTGATTTCCGACGTCATGAATAAATTGAAAGCTTCTGAAATTGTGCTAGCATTGGCACTATGTTGTGTTATTCCAGGCTCAGTATTCAGAATATTTCTTTTCATTCGGCGAGTTCGTGGAAAAGGTTGCTTATACCAAATCATGCCAGACTTTGCAGTGTAAAATGACCCACTAACCTGCTCATTACTATTTTCTGGTTCTGTCAATTCTTCATCAGAATCTTCACTACCAATTTCCAAATTATCCTCGGACTCCGAAACATTTTCTGTACCTAAACAGTCTTCTCCAGAAGTATCGCTCTCATAGTCAAAATCCATATTCTCGGCTATTTCCTCTATCTCACGTCGTGTAAGGGGTCGCTTTCTATGAGAATCACTCATTTCTATATCTCTGCAAAATGAAGAAGTGAAAAAATATACAGCACACTAAAAAAAAAAGAGGAACGTAAATACCCGTGCGGAGTAACGGCAGGACCCCACTCACCTAAATCACGTGTAACTTCAATGCACTCGCTGCGAAATGTGGTCGCATACTGAATAATACTCACAAACGCCAAAACAAACACATACCTAGCCGCGGTGTTACCAGAGTGTTCAAATAAACTATTGACAGTAGGATATTTTGACTTGGGGTCCTCGAAGGACCCCGCTTGGCGGTTTAAGGGCTAAATATGTATATTTGCACAAGAAACTCGTGCAGTGTTAGGGAGAGCGGGACCTACAGCTTATAGTGGAATCTGAACCACTTCTAGGGCATCGAGGTGCTGTCAGGATTCTAACCATGAATCACACATTCTAAAGAAAAATTCTCTGCCGATAGCCGGATTCGAACCGACAGTACCTTCGCATCGTGAACGGCTATCTAGCGAATTTCAATGCATAGACAAACTCGGCAACGGAGCCCCGTGATGATACCACTTATGCACTCAGATTCCATAGAGACATCCTCTACGCAGAAGCTTGCAGAACCGGAGACTGCATTTCCTCATCGCCGGATTGTTCAGTATCAGTTGCATGCTCAATATGCTCAGAGCAGGCATCATCTATATCAGAATCAGGTCTAATAGCAACGTATTGCTTGCCATCTGATGGAATCTCCTCGAACCATTTTAGTAGAATATTGGGCGAATCGCTACACTAACAAAGAAAATTTCTGTAGTGAAACTGATAATATTAGTTTATATCTAAAATCGCGCGTCTTCGCGGGAATGAAAATAAGTCCTAGTTGGAACTAAAAGGAAAATATATAATATAATATTTTGTGAGGTTTGAAACATAAATGGAAAGTTTACATGCACACATACCTCCAAATGGACACAAAGAAGTTAATGCTGATTTATTTATATCACCTTCAATGACAGTTTTACATCGAGTAAGAAATATAATCCTATCATTCATGTGGAAGATCTTCGAAATCCTATTGGAAAATTGGATCTTTTACAACCGGTGTAAGACCTGAACATAAACTCACCAGATCACTTCTCACGGGAAAGTTCTTGCTAAATCTTTATTCATAAGTGGAATGGGCTCATTCATAACTTCAATTGTGATTCATTCGAGGGGCAGGACAAAAAATGTATCGACAAGGTGGCTAATCTTCACAAAAAGTTGTGCAACATTGTTTTTATCCACCATAATTTCCTTGACTTTCTTCCAATCGACATCCTCGCCTGTTTTGAATTTCCTGGCAGACTTTATTCTTATTTTTGCTGAGAGAGATTTGAAATCATCAGAATCATTAACTTTCATGTTGATAACCTTGTATGGTAAATGATGTCTAGCCAATTTTAGGATAGGTGGCAGCTGAGGCGGTATAAAGATGTCGCCGGCCAATGACATGGCTGTCGATACTGAGCTATGGGCTGAATCGCCCTCGTGTTGGCCGTGATTGGTTTCGAAAAAATGTAAATGAATGGTTTGAAGACTTTTGGTCATTGTTATAGTATTCAACAGCATAGTAAAAAGGTATACCTCGCGAAATCCACGATTGTCTAGGTCAGCGTTTCTCAACCTTTTTGGGCCACGGACCCCTAGGAAATCTAACGCAATCTTCAGGGACCCCCTCATTAAAATAAACAGCAATAAGTTCTGGACCGTTTATTCAGTATGTTCTACAAATACAAAAAAAAAACTTTAATACATAATAAATATTTTTTTTTTCTGAAAAATATATCAATGTGAAGGTTGATGTTGCTTTTTTGCTACTAAATCAGTTATATTCGGGTTGATGTTACCACTACTGAGTTGTAATCTCAGACTGGATTCCACTTGTAGTCTGTTTCTGTACTTGTTTTAGTATATACAAGAGCAGAAAATGCCTTCTCACATAGATATGTGGTTGAGAAAAGCAGTAAATGTTTCAGTGCTTCTTCTGATATTTCCTCATAATCATTTCTCACATTAATCCAAAAACTTGATGAAGACGATTCTTTGAAATTTCGTTTCAAAACTGAATCACAAAAAATTTCTATTAATTGGTTTTCTTGTGCAGTTGTCAAGTCTGTTATATCACTAACATCAGTGTTGAAAGGGTTTATTATCCAATTTTTATTTTTGTTCGGTAATGGAAAATAACTCCGAAACGAAGACTTCCACGCGCGGAGGTGTTTAATGATTTCGTCTTGTACTTCTGTTGGCAACATTGCTCCACCACCAGAGGATTCCAAAAACGCTGACAGCATAGGAAAGTGATTGAAGTTTTTTTGAATTGTACGATTTGTCCAAAGGTTAAGCTTCTTTATCATCGTTTCAATTTTATCTTCAACTTGGAATATGTTGTTATCTCTCCCTTGTAAACCCAAGTTAAGATCGTTAAGGGCACTGAAAATATCAGCTAAATATGCTGCCATTGTGAGCCATCCAAAGTCATCGAAGTGAGCAGCATGTTTATGGACGCTGCTAACAGAATTGTTCAAAAAGAACATTCTTATCTCATCTCTCAGCTCAAAAACACGCGACACAACTTTGCCGCGAGACAACCAACGCACCTCAGCATGCAACAACAACTGCTTGTGAATGCTTCCCATTTCTTCACAAATGATGCCGAAAATACGGGAATTCAGAGGCCTAGCTTTAATGAAATTCACCACCCGCACTAAGTCGTCTAACACTGCTTTTAATTCTTCTGGCATATTCTTAGCAGCTAATGCCTCCCCATGAATGCAGCAATGATGCCAGATAATAGATGTATTCATTTTCTTCACGTGCGCCTGGAGACATATTCGTGTACCGGTCATAGCCCCAGCACCGTCGGTGCTGACTGCCACACATTTATCCCACGTTATTTCATTGGTGGACATAGAGTTGTTCAATACTTCAAATATTGCTTCACCTGTAGTGTGTGATGGCAGAGGCATACAGAATAAAAAATCCTCACTAATGCTGTCGTTGTGCTCGTAACGAACATATGCAAGCAAGTTTGCGTCATTGCTAATATCTGTGCTCTCATCTAGTTGCAGAGCATAAAATCTGCTCGCTTTAATATTCAGAATCAGCTGCTCTTCAACATTCTTGGACATGTCATCAATTCTCTTCTTCACTGTGCTGTTCGATAATGATATAACATTCAATTCTTTCGAAGCTTTGTCTCCCAACATAGCCGAAACCATAATTTTAGCGCACGGTAATATCAATTCTTCAGCAATGGTATGAGGCTCGCCACTTTTTGCAACTAATAAGGATACTTGGTATGATGCTAATACAGCACTTTCGTTATTGGTTCCAGTAGCAGTCTTCATCATTGTTTTTTTGCTTCGTTTCAATTCCGTGGCTTTGATTTTGAAAAAGGCTTTAGATTTTTCACACAGTTCTTGATGTTTAGTTTCTAAATGACGTCGAAGTTTGGCCGGTTTCATTGACTCATTCGACAAAAATTCGTAGCATATGACGCACTGAGGTCTTTCTTCGCCGTTCAAAGTAATACTTGAGAGACCAAAAGCTAAGTATTCGTCGGAAAACTTACGACGTTTAACCTTTGAAGTCGAGGGTCTTTCATTTGCTTCGTCTGAAGCGGATACATTTGGTTTTAACCAGCGTTTCATTGTCGCAATCACTCTATAAACGTTTCCTTATGATTTTCTGCAACGCAAGACTGAACTTGACAAAACAAAACATGCACTTGCACTAATCGGCTAATCGCTGACGGCGAACGCAAAGATCGAGCGCTGGCGGTGTGGTGGGGGGAAAGAGTCACGGCCCACACGGTTCACCAGATTGACGTAGTAAGGGTAGCTCTAGCGTTTACGAGACTTGATGGCAATTATTTATTATTGTTGAATGATCCAGAGATGAGTTCGCGGACCCCCATGCATATATTCGCGGACCCCCAGGGGTCCGCGGACCACAGGTTGGGAAACGCTGGTCTAGGTCACGAAGATATCTCAATACACAGGTCGAAATTTCATTTGCACCACGTTTACTAATTGCTTCGTCCCATAAAAGCACATACAGTCTTTGTCACCAATATTATAAATAGTGGGATTAAATGCAGATGAACCACGCCGGTAGAAAATGGCTTTTTCATTGCGAATGGGAAGTTGAATCACCTGTTGAAGGTCAAAAACTGCGGAAGTCACAACATAAGGAAAACATTTTGATACTTCTTTGCATTTCTCCTTTATCTTTCTTACTGCATTCTTTTCTGTTGTATGTTTGAAGAAAGCAGTCTCAAGTTCCTTTTTCCTTTTCTGCATCGCATTTCTTGTAAGAAATGCAGAGGGTACACTGATCCTTCTTAGGATGGTGGAATGAAAGATTAAGAGATCGAAATATTTTCCGATAAGTTTGGTAACTGCACATCTTTTTCTTTTTAGCATTTTCTTCAATATACAAGTCGAACATTCTTCTCCTTGTTAGGTCTGAATGTAGATATTCCCTACTAGTTGATATTCTACAAAAATGTGATTCCATTCGTGAAAATTTGTGTATATCATCAACTTTAGAGTTTCTCAACTGTTACTCCTTTTCTTATAACTTCATATATGGCCCTCCACGCTTATCCGACATCACTATTTCCTCTTCAGTCAATTTACTCAAAGCTGTCCTCAAGTTTTTTTCCGGAATACCAAAAAAATATAGCTTTTACTATTAACTAGTGTTGCCCTAGAGGCAAGCTGATTTTGTCCGTCTGCCCCTGTCTGCCGTTGTTATTGAGTTGCGATATTGAAATTACTCACAATTTCAGAGGACTTTGCCAGCTATAATCACTTCTATGCAACCTAGTAAAGGACCCTATTAGGTGAAAACTGATCGAACCACTGTATAGCTCTCTGCACTTCTATGCGTGTACCTTTGAACCGCAGTAACCATGAAATAACAATAAAAATAAATACACTGTAGAGTAAAAAAATGTGGGCGTAACAGCCAATATTACTCTTGTGAAATCTGACAGATAGGCGAAGCTCCATTTTTGGTTGTTCGCCCCTTTGTCTGATACTATAATATACTCAATGTCGCTGACGCCTTTACTCGATATTACTGTGAACTGAAAACGCCTATAGATGTACTTGGTGGAGAAAATCTTGAAGAAAGATAAAAGTGGAATGAACGTGTTCGTCAAATGGCTTGGATGAAGAAATCTGCTATTAGTTGAAGTGCATGTGTGTTTTGTTTTAATAATTTCAATAATAAATAATTCGAACGAATCTGGTAATATCTATTCATATTTTTTTCTACCCTTCCACCAAACCCATGAAGATAGAAATCGAAAAATGTTCCCAAGTAGAATATATATTTGAAGTGTTGGAAAATACTCCCATAATAAATGTACGAAAAAAATAAAATGAAAAATAATCAAATAAAATAAAATCACTCGTCTTCATCGGAGCTACCGTGCTCACGAACGAAATATGGCTCCACCGGCGGCATATTCAGGCTTCTGCGAAACACCCGTCGCTCATACGGAATGCACCAGCAAGCCTTGAGATGTTTGTTTGCATTTTCAAACATTTGGCCAAGGAACTCGCAAAAATATGCACCATTTGAGCAACCGCGACAAACACCATTCCAGCAATCATTGCGGTGTTGGCTGCAACTGATACATCGCTGGTACCGTAGGCGCTTCTCCATGCTGCACTCCCTGCAAACGTTCCTGCAAATCCCTATGTTGGTGTTCCGCAACAGCTTGGAGCATTTGATACATGTCGCTCCGACAGAGTTGGCCACCATAGAGGTCGATCGTGGTGGCGGTACCGGCGATGCGTGGCGATTGGCAGTGATGCATCCCTGACACACCCTAGTGCACGGGTTGATTTCGTTTGCAGCTCATCCAATGTCACAATTGTGGCAGATTGTAAACCCGTTTACAACGGTGGGGTGAACGACTGCCAGGGGTTTCGAATCCCACGATTTCGGGTACGTCATGGTATTGGCCGTGGCGGTGTGGGTTGAAAATTTGCTGCTGCTGCTACTTTTTCTTCTTCATCTGCTAGTTCTTGAACTTACTTGTTGGTGGTTCGTGAAACACTGTGGTGATGACGCTGGCACCCTCCTCTTTTCAATAATCGGATATTCACCCTTCTCCATTCGATAATCAGGCTCCATTTGCCAAAAACGCATACGCACCACTGAAGCTCATGTAGCGGCAATACATTTTTCACTCTATATCACATCATTAACTGATTCGAGTCTTCTTGTTTTGTTTCAGAATCACGATGGTGTGGGCGATGGGATGAACGGAGGCGACGTCGAGCAGGTGGGCCTCGTCACCGATGAAGGGTGTCTGAGCTACAGGGTATTTCATTTGGGAATTCAAAAATCATTCGGGCACAGTATTTTGAGAGCATTTTTGACGTATTATATGGTCACATTCGGCGGAAGGTGTATCTCTATTATACACCCTACTAAATCATGTCGAATAAACGGGTCTGGGTACTACCAGAGGTGTAAGACAAGGGCAAGTCACTGGTTAATCCTCTTCAAATTCAACGCCACTGGCACTGGCAATACTTTCTACGCGAATAACGCACTCCTTCATACCGATGGAGGCATTATTTTTCGAGATATTTTGAGTCAAACATGAAGCTGCACAAACATTTATAACGCTTTCTTGCTATTTTATGGATGTTGTATAATAAATAGTAAATTGCACGACTAGTGTGCAGTTATGTTATAGGCACGGCAGCTCTGTTGTTTGGGAGCAGGCTGTGGATTCAAGAAGTTATGTATCTTTAGGGACCTTTTGCCAGGCGCCATTCAGTTTTCAGTAGTAGGAAAACTAAGAAAATTTAATATTGACGATAGAATTTGAAAATCTAATGAAACAC